GTCTTATGCTTCTGTTGATTTTTATTATGACGTTATTTTAAATTAAATAAAAAGAAAAGAAGTATTTCATCCTTGGGACCCTTGCACTACTATTGATTGATGTATCTGTATATTACAATTCCTATATATATAGAGGAGAAGATGGTAGTAGGTGTAGGTGGTAGTGGAGGTGGTAGGTGGAGTGAGTGGTAGTGGAGGTGGTAGGTGGGTGGTAGTTTACATTTTACAATTTACATTTTACATTAACAGAAGCAATTATTGTTTTCATTTTTTGTGTGAAAATTGTTTTAAATATTCAAAAACAAACTCTTTGTATTTTTTAAAAAGTGAGTTGTTCTAAGAATTTTTTTTTCTTTTGAAAATAGCTTATGTAAATAGTTTGCAAAACAAGTTTGTTGTGTTTTTTGAAAATAAAAATAGAAAACAAAAAAATAGCCAAACAGACCATGAGCTTGTTGTTGGAATGTGTCCCATATTATTTGAAGTTGCCGCATCTGTGCTAATTATAAGGCTCAAATTTCTCTCTCTTTAATACTTGGATTTTAAGGAAAAGTGTGGGCCGAACTTTTCATAATAGTATTAGAGTTTGGTTAGGCCTGTAATTGGTGTACCATTTGTCCGGATGTGTCCCATATCTCATAGAGTTGTCCCATTTGGGCCTGTAATTGGTGTGCCGTTTTGTCCGGCTACTATATGTCTTGGTCTAGGAGGGTGTGTTGGAATATAGGAAGATGTGTTGGAATATGTCTCACATTGCCTGGAGTTGCCCCCATTTGGGCTTGTAATTGGTGTGCCGTTTTGTCCGACTACTATATGTCCTGGTCCAAGAGTGTGTGTTGGAATGTGTCCTACATCGCCTGAAGTTGCCCCATTTGTGTTGGTTATAAGGCTCCAGTTTCTCTCTTCTTAATACTTGGGTTTTGAGGAGAAGTATGAGCTGAGCTTTTCAATTTGTGTCGTTTGTCATATGTCGTATGTCTTGGTCTAGGATGGTGTGTTGGAATGTGTCTCACAGCACCTGAAATTGCCCTATTTGTGCTAATAAGGCTCCAATTTCTCTCTCAATTTATGTCATTTGTCGTATGTCCTGATCTAGGAGGGTGTGTTGGAATACGTCCCACATTGCCTAGAGTTGCCCTATCTATGCTAGTTATAAGGCTCCAATTTTTCTCTCCTTAAAACTCAATTTCTTTTTCCTTAATACCTGTGTTTTAAGGAGAAGAGTGTGTTGGAATGTGTCCTACATCGCTTGGAGTAGCCCCATTTGTGCTAGTTATAAGGCTCTAATTTCTCTCTTTTTAATATTTGGGTTTTAAGAAGAAATGTGAACTGAGTTTTTCAACTCATATAATCATAACTATTCGAGTTTTAATCTGCATCGTATGATTTTAAGATTTTAATTGCGTTAAACGATGTGAATCATAGTTGGATTTTAAATTTAGTATGATCTACGATTTCAATTTTACTATGATCCTGATTTTACCAAATTTTTTTCTTATTATATATTTTGTTATATATATGTGTGTGTGTGTGTATGTTTATATCAATATATAAAAAATTGACTACAAACGCATTTTTCAAACATCTATAATTTATGTTAATTTAGAAGATGCATTATGTCAAATTTATCAATTAATGATTTAAATTATGTAACATAGATTATCATTAACAATAATTTTTTTTATTTTATTTTGCATTAAAAGTAAAATATTAGGATTCTCGATCCAGTTTTAATATCCGATCCACGGAACCCTTCCAACGATCCCACCTAGGATCCCAATTTTAACAACTTTGCATATAATCGTTACATATGAGTGTACGTAATCGTTGCTTTGATGTATTGCTCCATTTGTTTCGGTAAAAAACATTTCTGCATTTCTAGTATTTGGTACTACAAAAAATGAAAGTCAATACAAAACAATTTCTATGATCAATAGAAAACAGGATTCGTTGAGGTGAAAAATGTTTTTCACTTTAAAAATGTGAAAAATATTTTCTAAATTAAAGTCTCGTCAATGCTATCACATTATTATCACAGCTACCACCCCTACCACCGCCACTTTCCCCATCACTACATGTTCCTCCACCTAACGACCACAACTAAGACCACCACTGATGTATTAGTTTCGAGGTTGCAGCGAACCATAAAAAAATATTTTCTGATTTTTTTTCCCCTAATAAAAATGCTATGTGACAATGTGACTTTTCTAAGAAACTGGCGGCCATGGCTAGTTGACGGCGAAGTTGGAGGGGGAGTATATAAAAACATTTTTTCAATTTCAATTTAAAATTAAATTAAATTAAATTAAATTAAATTAAATTAAATTAAATTAAATTAAATTAAATTAAATTAAATTAAATTAAATTAAATTAAATTAAATTAAATTAAATTAAATTAAATTAAATTAAATTAAATTAAATTAAATTAAATTAAATTAAATTAAATTAAATTAAATTAAATTAAATTAAATTAAATTAAATTAAATTAAATTAAATTAAATTAAATTAAATTAAATTAAATTAAATTAAATTAAATTAAATTAAATTAAATTAAATTAAATTAAATTAAATTAAATTAAATTAAATTAAATTAAATTAAATTAAATTAAATTAAATTAAATTAAATTAAATTAAATTAAATTAAATTAAATTAAATTAAATTAAATTAAATTAAATTAAATTAAATTAAATTAAATTAAATTAAATTAAATTAAATTAAATTAAATTAAATTAAATTAAATTAAATTAAATTAAATTAAATTAAATTAAATTAAATTAAATTAAATTAAATTAAATTAAATTAAATTAAATTAAATTAAATTAAATTAAATTAAATTAAATTAAATTAAATTAAATTAAATTAAATTAAATTAAATTAAATTAAATTAAATTAAATTAAATTAAATTAAATTAAATTAAATTAAATTAAATTAAATTAAATTAAATTAAATTAAATTAAATTAAATTAAATTAAATTAAATTAAATTAAATTAAATTAAATTAAATTAAATTAAATTAAATTAAATTAAATTAAATTAAATTAAATTAAATTAAATTAAATTAAATTAAATTAAATTAAATTAAATTAAATTAAATTAAATTAAATTAAATTAAATTAAATTAAATTAAATTAAATTAAATTAAATTAAATTAAATTAAATTAAATTAAATTAAATTAAATTAAATTAAATTAAATTAATTAAAATTAAATTAAATTAAATTTTTAATCATGGGTTAGTTTAGGGGAGGTATGTTTAATTACGCTAAAATGATAGGATTTATTGTATTTTTACCAAATTTCAAGAGAAATCAGTTTTATTATTATTATTTTTGTTATTCCACTATCTCCTCTTCTTCTTTTTAAGTCAATTAATAGAAAATAATTTGCAAATATCAAGAGGCAGACATTTATCATTTCACTATGTAAAAAAGTTTTACCACTTTATGTGCTTAAAAAAATAAAAAAACTAAAAAAACCAACTTTTGACAAAGAGATCAATCAAAGCCATCTGTCTAATGAAATTTCTTGTTTTCAATTTTATATAGCTACACAATCAAGTATTCAAAAACTAGGTATCGTTTGACGTATGCAACTGTACTGGTAAGTCACAAATTCAATTTTTTCTTTTTTGACTTTATGAAGCACTGAAGGAAAAATTGAAGGAAAGTGTATGTTTGGTTATATTTTCATTTTCTTCATTTTTATTTTTTGTGTTTTAAGAAACAAAATAATAAAAAGTTTGAAACACACATCATTTTTCATTTCTACATGAAAACAATTTTTAAAAAAAATCAAAAACAATTCTTTAATATTTTCTTAAAAATTGAAGAAAGTTCGCTGAACAAGTTTATATATGTTTTCCAAAAATAAAGACAAAAAACAGAATACGAAATTACAACCAAGCAGATCCTTAAGATATGTTTGGTTGTGTTTTTTTATTTTTCATGTTTACATAAAAGTTGAAAAATAAAAAGTTGTAAAACAGCCATCATTTTTTTTTTTTTTATTTCTGTGCACAAACAATTTTCAAAAATACAAAATTAATTTTTTTATGTTTCATGAAAAGTGTGTTATTTAAAAAATTAAAAATTTTAAAATTAAATTTTGAAAATTATTGTAGGGAGCAGGGCACTCACCTCAAGAGTACAAGCGTAGAGAATGTTATGAGATGTACCAAAGGTGGATCCATTACTATCCTCTCTAGTAGTTTCTTTAAGCCAATATTTTTGTGAGATGTTCCAGAACTTATTACAATACCATCCTCTCTTAGTGAACTTTTGTGAATCTAATTGTATTCAAATTTTCTTCCTTCCAATGGTTCATTGTCATAATTAACTTGTAGCATTTAAGAAAATATTAACTTTTAGTTTATTTTCTGGGAATAAATTCTGTTATAATTTTACTTTATTGCACCTCATGCCAAATTTAGCACAAACTTCAGCTGTGGGTAAATTTTGAAAAAATCATTTTGTATCTACACCTCTAATAGCTAGATCCATGTATAACATTTCAATTTGGCATTTTGTGAGAAAAATATGAAAAAGAACATTTATACTATTAGAACAACATTGATAAAATATATATCATTTTATCATTTTTCGTTGCTAAATCTAACAATAATTATTCAACCATTAACGATATTCTAATTGGTCACATTTTCACATGAATTTATTTTAGGGCATCCAATGAATTACTGCCACGTCATCTTTACCTTCAACAACTCATGATACACATTAGACAATTAAAAATAAAAATGTTAATATAGCATTAGTTTGGCTAACAAATAGAGGTCACAAGCAACACAAAAATTAAAGAAGAAAAAAATAAGGATAAAATACTTGACAACATGAGTGACATTATTTATGCTATTATACAATAAATAAATAAAATATATATATATATATATAACATACCGCCCACGAGTTACATGCTTCATTTGTTGGCTTATCAAAAGCTTGTAGACTTAAACAAGTATTGTTATGTACTTCCCTTAATTTATTGGGAAAATTAGAAATAAGTGGGACAATTTTAAAATAATTATATTATGGGCTAAATTTTTTTTATACAAGTTTGGCATACAAAAAAGATTTGCACTAAACATAAAAAAATAAAAAATAACTTATACCATACAAAAGACTAGACCAGACCCATCATAAAAAATAAAATTATTGTTTCGTTGTCTAACTGAAACATAATTTTTCATAATTTATTTGGGGTAAACTGGACCAATAATGACTTTCCCCCTAGCCTTTCATTTAGGCATTATTCCAAGTTCACCTACCTTAATTTTTGTTGAATTATAGCAAAATAATCAGTAACTGAGTCAGAAATTCAATGTAAAGGGATGCATATTAGTCACAACACCATTTTTTTTTTCCTTTTTTTTTCCTTTTTTTTTTTTGCTTTCCCCATGATAAGCGACAACGAGATATTACCAAACAATCACCACCACCAAACACCTTCACGATCTATCTCTCATCGCAACCCACAGCTATGGCATGGTGTAATAATCTCACTTCTACATTAATAAATCATTTCTGGATATGAAGTGATCACCAAACTCGTGAAATAGCTGCCAATTCTAATTGATTATGAAACTCTAACGTAAAGTTTTATAATTAAAAAAGGGCCTAATCTATCTCTGATCTTTTTTAGACACATTGTAGCATTTCTCTTATTTTATTTATTGAGAGGAGGGAGTTAGTTAAAAATGTGTGAACTCGTGGATCATGATATTGCTGTCCCGGGATTCCGATAATTGAATATGCATCAGCAATAAATATAAAATTGAAAAACATTGATTATCTCGCCCAGATTTTATAACACCACTGTATTTTTATCAAAACATCATTTTAGTCATTACACTTTCACTAAAATCTCATTTTAGTCCCTTTCCCTTTTTAATTTTAGTCAATCTCTTTAGTGATAGATGGACACTTGACTTAAAGTGTGAAAAAATTATTGTCACAATTAAAAGTGAAGAAATCAAAATAAAATTATGGTGAAAATATAGGGTAGCTAAGTGTAATTAACCCATAAATGTGTCCAAATTCAATCTGCTTGGTCGGTTGGCCCAGGCATGGAGTGAAAATGAGATATCAGTAGATATAATGGAGGAAAGTGATTGCCCTCAGTCCTTGCAATTTTGGGAGCTTTCATTTGTGGTGCTGATTGGGAAAGGTTGAAAGCTGTGATCAAGTTCAGGAAGTAGATGGGTAAGATCATGTGGTTATGTGTACTTGTGTTAATGGGTCTGTGCAACACTGTTGTGTCAAAATCGCTCATCAAGTCTCTACCTGGCTTTCCTGGTATGCTTCCCTTCAAACTTGAAACTGGGTGAGCTCTCTCTCTCTCCATACATATAGATGGGACAAAATTACAATTTGCATGCATGTAATTTACATTGAGTCTTGCTTTGTCCCTTAACTTTTTAATTGTCCCAATCAACAATCTAAATTTCAAGTCATGCTATAGTTAGAACCTGTTAGAATAGTAGAGAGAGAAATAATATGTATTGTATTGAATTAATGATTTTACAGTACAAAGCCATGGGTATATATATAGGACTATGTAGGAGTGTTGTACAAAGGAAAGGGAAAGAATAAGGTAGGGAGAGAATAAGGTAAAGAAAGAATAAGGTAGGGAAAGAAAAAGGCAAGATTTGAACATACCTAATAGGGAGGAGCCTATAATCTAAATATGGAATACAATACAAAGAATAATACAATACAAAGAGGGTAATTTATATTTATAAATTGGGCCGAGCTGGGCAATGGGTCGTTATGGGCCACAAAACAAAGGGCTGAGTAAAGAGGCTTTGAAGTTAGTCCGGTCCCAGAGCCTTAATGGTTAGTCCGGTCCCAGAGAGCCTATTGTTATTATCGGTCCAGGAGAGTACTGCGAATTGCTCGGTCGCCCGAGTTAGCTCGGTCGTGGCATGGTGCAGCTAGCTCGGTCAGACCTAGCTAATTGTTAAGCACGGTCTAAACTAACACTATGGTTAGCACGGTTTGTGCAGGTAGAACCGAGGCAAGAGCAGTGAAAGGAAGAATCGAACTAAGTATAGTTCGGTCTAGTCTGCGACTTAGCATAGCCATGTTTATCTCGGTCACAGAATTCCGACCATGGTAAAACCATCTCACTTGGTTTGTGCAGTGAGGGGGGTGTTGAAGGATAAGCATTATCTTTCAGGAGTATGAATCCCAGGAGGACTCTACATAGAGGAGTAAAAGTCCTACTAGGATTGTGCCACACGGAACCTACAAAAGCTCACAAACATCACCTATGGAGAGGTAACACAACTTTGATTCTCGAAGACACAGAGCTTTTTTGTCTATTTGTCTATTTTGCTGACTTAGGCATCGGAGAGGTATCCGGCACACACCCGTCGGCTAGCTCACGTTTGTGTTTTCAGGGAATAAAGCGACGATGTACGAAGGAGCGCAATCTTGATCAACAGGATTATACGGGAAGAATATTTCGTGCCCGTACAATTGGCGCCGTCTATGGGAAAAATATGGTGCACAACGAAGATTTGCCGCAGTCCGCCATCGACGGACAAACACCAGAGGGGGGTGCAAGATGCGAAGGCCTACCTTCTATCCCTCCCATGGTGAACTTGGAGCCACAGTGATAAAATCCCAGAAGGGATGCAAGGGAGAGGAGGCGGACTAACAGCCCCCATCACTCTCGTTCACGAAGTCTTGACAGACAAAGGCGGAGGATTGATCCTCAAGTTCTGGAGAACCGTGTGAAGGAGCAAGATGAAGTAATAAGGAAGATGGCGGCTGTAGACACCCCATTTTTGACCGTCCTCAAGACTTGGACGTCACCGTTTGAACACTCGGTGATCATCCATGATTGTGTTCGTTCGGAGTTCCCGGAGGTCTCGGCTCGCGCGCCTTGCCTCAGGATCCCCGAACTCGACTGTTTAGTGTCTGGTTTTGCACCAAACACTTTTGTTTTGCCTTAGAGGGGCAGGGAATGCCTTGTGAGACATCCCCATACACCACCGGCAGTGGCTGGAGGCCACCGGCTGGTCTTTCGCACCATACATCATCCAGGCAAACGGAGTTGCCTAGATCGTCCGACTTACGGACTGTGCTTGAAGAAAGGGCGCGACAGAAGGAGGATACTAGGGCATGCGACCCGCATAGAGTTTCAGCCCTTCGGCGGTTAGCTCCTTGGACGCATGGAAGCGTCGAGGTTGGAATGCCAGTACCACACCTTGCCTACGAACCAACAGATAAAGCGTTGGCAAGACTACATAGCTCGCCGTTCGTTTCGGCGATTGAGAACGCATCATTACCCTCAAGCTTCATCCAGTCTAAATTTACCACGTACGAAGGGAAGACAGACCCTTACATGCACCTAAGCCACTTCCGCCAGGTTATGGTGGTATATCGACGAAACGAGGCTTTGATGTGCATCCTCTTCCCATCAAGCCTTGGTGACCTAGGCTTGACTTGGTTCGAAAAACTTCCAGAAGGCAGCATAGCCTCCTGGACGCAATTGGCGGAGGCATTCGTAACAAGATTCAGAACGAACACCAAAACCCCAGTGGAAATTGATCAACTGCTCTCCATCGACATAGGCAAAAAAGAGTCATTAAAATCTATAATAGCTGCTACTGGGAGACCTTCAACCAGATTGGGGACTGCCCCACCAATCTCGCCATCGCACAATACAAAAGAGGCATTCCAGTCGGGAACAGATTAAGGGACTCAATCACTATGACACCGCGTCTCACGATGGAGGCCTTAATGGAGAGAGTGCACCAACATATTCGGGTAGAAGAAGATGGCGTCCGTGCTAAGGCAAAGTCTAGCACGATCGCAGTACCAGATAAAAAGACCGCGACAAAGGTCAACGCGGTAGAACGTCCGAACAAAAACGGACGAGGCAGCGGGACACACGAGAAAAAACCAGGATAAAAGATGGTTGAGGTCCGCACTGCCATTAACCACGGTACAAAAAGCCAATCTAACCGGATTCTAGCGAGATACGCGATGAAACCTTTCCGTCAGATGGCCTGCCAAGTAGGAGAGGCTCAGAAGGACTACGCGAAAGATACGCGAAAGATCCGGTGCCCTTCCAATAAAAAAAGGAGGGGCACCGCATTGAAATGGCCCATTAGACAACACATTTAGAAGAGTGGTGGCAGCCGGTCACTCTGGACAAATACTTGAAGGAGGGGCTGCTGTGCCCTCCTTCAATGTATTCTGCCAGTGACCGGCTGCCACCAACTCTTTCTAAATGTTGCTCCTTAAGGTGTACAATGTTCACAGCGGTGCCCCTTATTTGTTTATGGAAGTGCACCGTGATCTTTCGTCGTATCTTTCGCCGTAGTCCTTCGAGCCTCTCCTTAGCTTGGCAGGCCATCTGACGAAAAGGTTCATCGCGTATCTCGCTTTAGAAATCCCGGGTAGATTGGCTTTTTGAATACCGTGGTAATCGGCATGCGGATCTCAACATCTTTTATCCTGGTTTCTCCGTTGTCCGCCTGCCCTCGTCCGTTTTTGTTCGGACCGTTCTACCGTGTTGACCTTGCCGCCGGTCTTTTTATCTGGTACTTGCGGTCGGTGCTAAGACCTTTTGGCCTAGCACTGGGCGCCATCTTCTCTACCCAAATGTGTTGGTGCACTCTCTCCCATTAAGGCTCCATCGTGAGAGGCGGTGTCTAGTGGATTGAGTCCCTTACGTCTGTTCCGAACTGGAAGGCCTCTTTGTACTGTGCGATAGCGAAGATGTGGGTGGGGCAGTCCCCAAATCTGGTTGAAGGTCTCCCAGTAGCGGCTATTGTAGGATTTTAAATGACTCTTTTTCTCGCCAAATGTCATGGAGAGCAGTTGATCAAATTTCACGGACGGGTTTTTGGTGTTTGTTTCTAAAACCCTGTACGAAATGCCTCCGCCATTGCGCCCAGGACGTCTATGACACCTTCTGAAGTCTGCGAACCAAGTCAAGCCAGGTCACCAACAGGCTTATGGGAAGAGGAGCACATCAAAGCCGTTCGTCGATATACCACCATAACCTGCGGAAAGTGGCCTTAGGTGCATGTAGGGTCTGTCTTCCCTTCGTCACGGGGTAAATTTTAGAGTGGATGAAGCTTGAAGGGTTAATGATTGCGTTCTCAATCGCCGAAACGTAACGGCGATGCTAACTGTAGTCTTGGCCCAACGGCGTTATCTGTTGGTTCGTAGGCAAGGTGTGGTACGTGGCAGTCCTAACCTCTGTCGTTCCATGCGTCAAGGAGCTAACCGCCGCAGGCGCTGAAACTCTAATGCGGGTCGCCATGCCTAGTATCCTCTTCTGTCGCGCCTTTTCCTTCAAGCACAAGTCCGTTAAGTCGGACGATCTAGGGCAATCTCTCGTTTGCACTGGAATGATGTTATGGTGCGTGTGTGAGCGGGCACGTATAGGTACTTCCCTCTGTGTAAACCTTAATGATCTCGTTCTCCTCAGCCCAGTCGGCTTTTCCGTGTGAGTATATTTTTTTTTTCCCTTGTCCTCCTCTCTTAGTTGCCCTGTGGAAGTCCTTGATTGAGTGTCACTATATCCTGAGGCTTCTACTTTCGCTTGCGATGTGTGGTTATGCCTTCACTACGAATCTTCGGTGAGTGGCGAGGAGGCGCATTGCTTTGCGCCCTCTCTGTCGCCCACCACCTTTTCCCTTGATCTGGCACTTCATGGCCTCCAATGTCCGCCATTCACTTGCCTTATTCTCATCTGCTCCTTTACACGTCCCCAGAACTTGAGGATCAATCCTCCGCCTTTGTGTCAAGACTTCGTAACGAGAGTGATGGGGGCTGTTAGTCCGCCTCCTCTCCTTGGCATCCCTTCGTGGAATTTTGGTCGTGTGGCTCCAAGTTCACATTGGGAGGGATGAAGGTAGCCTTCTGCATCTTGCACCCCCCTCGTGTTTGGTCCGTTGATGGCGGGGACTACGGCAAATCTACGTTGTGCACCATATTTTTCCACATAGATGGTGCCAATTGTACGGGCACGAAATATTCTCCGTATAATCCTGTTGATCAAGATTGCGGCTCCTCCGTACGTCGTCACTTTATTTCCCTGAAAAGCACAACGTGAGCTAGCCGACGGGTGGTGTGCCGGAACTCTCCGATGCCTAAGTCAGCAAAAGTAGGACAATAGACAAAAAAGCTCTGTGTCTTCCGAGAATCAAAGTTGTGTTACCTCTCCCATTAGGTTGATGTTTGTGAGCTTTTGTAGGTTCCGTGTGGCAACATCCTGTTAGGACTTTTACTCCTCCAATGTGAGTCCCTCCTGGGATTCATTACTCCTGAAAGATAATGCTTGGATCCTTTCACACAACC